AATATAATACAAATAACCATTATTACAAATACAAATATATATCTAAGAGCGAAATTCAGTCCGAGATATATGAAACTATATACGATGGGCTCCGCCGAGAACCAGACGAAGCTTCTTATATATCACTTGTTCAAGAGACACCTTCAACACTTAGCATGAGTTGGGCTCTAAAACCAAGAACCGGATTGAGCTGCTCGTTTTACGGAAAATGTGCGGTCGTATTTGACAGCAAAGTTTAACCTGGGTGAGATGACTGGTAGAAAAGCAGACCCTGAACAAGTTGCCGCGGATATGCGGTGCGCGAGAAATAAGAACGATGAAAGGCGCTTTGAAAGAGAAGAATGGCTATCGAAGACCCAGATTGCAAGAAACTCAATTAGACCCCCCCCCCCCAACTCAATTAGACCCCCCCTTGCTGTTACAAGAAATTGATCATGAGTATAGCATATTGGCCTGCAACACCCCATTATGACACGTACGATCTTTGCGCCTACTATATCAAAGAAACAAGATCTCAGCCTTCAATGTTGCAATGCTGAAAAAAATACTTAATCACTTTGAAGTACAGTTTAGATCTAAAGACCTTAAAGCAGAGCTCTTGCGTTTGGTTGGGGAAGTCATTAAGGAATGCAAGTGTTCTCCGCAGTAGAATCAGTAGTGCTAGCTAGCTATACCGCAAACCGGTTGGCTCAGCTAGTTGGWTGAGCATCGGGACTTTCGTGCGGGAGGTCGTGGCTCGAGTCCCAGCTTGACCAACACTCAGGGTCTTAARATAACTGAGAAGAAAGTGCTGCCTTTGTAATTACATCTGCAAATGGTTAGGCTTTCAAGTGGCTCGGATGACCACTTTAAATGGCGGTCTTGTCCCTCCACAATCATCATTACTAACCAACATCGGAGGGACGTAAAAGAACCACTGAGGACGTAAAGAAACCCTGGCAGTGACCACCCTCAGTGCCTACACTTCATACTAACCATCTCTCATGCTTGTAAATTGCATAAAAGCAATCTGTCATTAACAACTCAATGTA